GCATGGAGAGGGGGAACAGCTGAGGACTCTAGATTCATGGGAAGAGAGGGACTGAGAGCTGGCAGCCAGGAGGCAGGCTTGCAGAATGTGCCCTTTGGTGGTGTAGTTTATTATACATGCCTGAGTGTTTGTAAAAAAAAAAGCTAAAGTGAATAGAGAGAAATACTGTTAACTGATGGTACATGGATGGGTTATAATCATTGTAATGGAACAAGGTATATGATTTGTTGAATGCAAAACTGATGATCTGAAAACAACAACAACAACAACAAAAAAAAAAACCCTGATGAGCTGCCCTGTAAATGTTCACTCAATTCATAATAAAAACTTAAAAAAAAAAAAAAAAAGATGGCAGACTTCCAGGACAGTGAGTGAGCCCCCAGACTGCAAGTTCTTCCTGTAGCATATTGCCTGAATGGGATGAAAGGTCCTCTCTTGGTGGAGGGTAGCTTTTGGGAACCCTACCACACGTCTCTTGAGCTCCCAGGTCCCTAATTCAAAGATATTAGCGATAAGCCTTTTGATTATAATCAAATTGAAAACTATTTTTTTGCTACTTCAATGTAATCAATGTATCATCATTCATAATACACAACAGTCAGGAAGAAAGCAACTGCCAACCCTCATTAAGTCACCATGGCTGCTTGGGTTGAAATTCCTAAACCACAGATCAAGATGAAATTCACCTACAAAGGATACCATCTTCAATTTAAGGGTTTCTAAAAATTATAGACCAACATTGAATTTCAATTATTCAAAGATAAGTATTTCTTATCTTAACATCTCTACAACTGATAAATCATATAATAAATATTTAATTGGCAACCATCTTTTGATGAAATACCTAATACTGCATCTTATAATTGTTTAGTGCCATCAGGTCAGTTCTGACTCACAATGACCCTTTATAGGGTTTCTGAAGAAGGGCTGGAGGTTTGAACAGCCAACCTTGCAGTTAGCAATCTAGTGCTTATCCTACAGCACATCAACACTCCTATTATGAATTAATGCGGTAATTTGCATGTGATATCAGTAAACAAGGTTTTAAGGCTCCCGAAAGACAGTGCCTCACTCTTGACCTGTATCTCTCAAGATAAATGATACTATATGGACAAGAAATAATCTTTTATCATGATTACTTTGAGACCAGTTAAAGTCAAGATTCCAGTATTTCAAATTTGTTAACTTTTAAGGTGAGGTAGTTTTAAAATCTTTTGTTTATTTAAGTGGCTGCTCCTGGCATTTAAAAAATGAAAAACCATTACAGAATTCAAGTACACTGAGCAAAACCTGAGTCTTTCCCATCTCAATAGCCCAACACATGAAGTATTTATTTTCCTGCCTGGACAAGAATTTCTATTTCATCTGACATTTTTCATTAGAAGACAAATCACAGAGAAGTTAACTTTTGATTCAAGTAAAGGCTTTATTTCCACCTTCCTGAAAGTGAAACTAAACCATGCTTCCCTTCAATAAAGACATCCTCCCTTTCTACATCAGAGAACATCAAATATTCCATGCCAGTACCAATCGGGGTGAGGAACTAAAATATAGGCGCACTTTGATGCATTTAATTTTGGACTCAACTTCCAAGTGTGACCCAAAGTATCACTCTGTTCTAGGCTTCTTTTCCATTTTCCCTCGATCAACTCAAGAAACGAGACAAGCAAAACCAGGATAAGGGAGTACAATGAGTCCTTCTGTTCTCTCTTTTACCCCCTTTTTAAAGGACTAGCTGGAGTGTGCAGGTGGGGGATATGAAAAGTCCAAAGCCTGGCAATTCTAATTTGGCCTTTTTGACCTTAAAAATCAACGTGACTTGGGAGTACTACTAGTCATAAATAAGGTCCAACACCAGTTTTTACTGTCACCTGAATTTCAATCAAGGGTCTCTTAAAGAATGAGTTAGACTATATCATGGCTAATTCATCTCCTGGCAACCAGGCGAGGCCTTCATGGATTTAAGCATCAGTAGGCACACAACTGAGAACAACCATGTATAAAGCTGACAAAAGTCCATGAGGTCAAGCTCCCAGGACTGCACTGAAAGTGATGTAGCCTTGGGCAGTTGCTGCGCAAGAGCTTCTGCTAAACAAAGAAGAGCCAGAAATCATCTCATCTACCAAACATCCTCAGTAACAAGGACTTATGTCTGAATGATGAAATATAGGTCCACTGAAGGCTCATAAAAAGTCCCCTTGGCCCCTAAAACTGCAGAAAATTAAAGAAAATTTCCAGAAAGGGAGGGAGAAGAGGGGACTAATTACCCTCAGGAGAAACCCACTACCTGAGAGTACATGATTAAATATATAGACATCAGGGTTTAAATGGGCTCCTTTTAGTTTGACTCCCAGTCAAAACGTAGATTCTGAGTCCCTGGTAAAAACACAGATCCTCAGCAGGTGTCTAAATGAGAATGAATTGATTTGAAGCCCTGATGAACATATACAAACTATCACTTACCTGTGAATGTTCTTAAGAGCCTCTTTACTCTTCTTTCAACCTAATGTGGCCCTTTGAGCGAGGCACCAGCAACCACAAGAGTGGAAAGGTCAGATATATAAATACCATGAGAACTTCAGTAACACCTCTGGCAAGTACCTGTGTCCTCCACTTGCTCAACAAGAGGGTTTGTTTTCCATGAGCTTTTTTAAGCCCCCTCAAATACGGTTTCAACATTCCAAGTAGGAGAGGGCAGTCTGATAACAGCTTTTGTTAGTTATCTTGAAGTTATCAAGAATCTACTTGTTTTTAATTGAACATTTGCCATCTCTTCTCAACACGAGTCTATGAAAGAACCTTCAGTGGGGAAGACTACATCTATGTTTCACCATATTGTGGCTTACAAACTCCAAGGTAAACAAGGCTCAGAAAAGTCTTCACACTGTTGCTCTACTACTTCCTCATTTTAAACACATACCATAAGCACTGGACTACAAAGTCGGCGGTTCAGACTTACCAGTCGCTCCTCAGAAACCCTATTCAGGGTCACTATGAGTCAAAACCGACTAGATGACATTTACCAACAATATACACTTCTATAAATGCTTATAAACACACACACACACACACACATATAACGCATATATATGCGTTTTTTCCGATTATACTTGCACACTGATAATGGTAGCATTAATCAATCTTCACACTTTGCTTTAAAGACTCTAAATTGGACAGCACTTTTGCAAATTTTAAATGCAAAGATTAATGACCCACTGAGATAAAGAGAAACACTGAACTGTATTATACAGTTCAATGTTACCATAATGGCTTCTGGGAGAAAAACTAGCCTCTTTTTAGAAACTGTAGTCCAATGTAGAAAAAAAAATTTAAATGGCCCTGGGAAAACTCTTGAATATTTTTTATACTAAAAGACCATAAGACTACTACACATTATATTTGACAATTAAAAATATAATTATTTTATTTCTACCTTCTTATAGCCCCAGTGGAGTCTTGGTGTAGTGCTACTGGGTAAGCAATGAACTGCCAACTGCAGTTGCCAAGGCTACTCGTTCAAACCCACTAGTTGCTCTTTGGAAACCCTATACAGAGTCGCTATGAGTCAGAATCGACTCCACGGTACATAACAACACAGCCCTAGTGTATTAACATCTCATAAGAATCTCATCTTTGAACATCAAAAATCTTTCCCCCCTCCCTCCCCCCAAAAAAGCATGTTGGGAGATAGTATGTATAAGCAGGAGTATGGCAGATTTTTACAACTGTAGCAGTTCACAGGCCAAACACACAAATTTTAAAATTCAAAAATAACAGTTAGCTTTATTTAACATGTTATACCTTAAACAATTAAAATACCATGCTCTAATTAAATATTTCATCAACAACACTGTATACAAATAAAATATTACACAAAATATATTTAAGAAAATGTTTTGGTCTTTGATCTGAACAATAAATAAAACACAGGCACTTCTACACTGAGACAGGGAAGCAGTCACTAGTCAGAACAATAATTTTGTATAAGCAACATGTGAAAATATGGCAAGAATAGAATCCTGGAGCTTTAAACTGACTAACGCTGTGGGAATAAAGCACTGGGCCAAAGGATGGTTTGAACCACAAGTTCAGCAGTTCAAACTCACCAGCTGCTCCTTGGAAAACCTATACAGGGTTGGTGTGAGTCAGAACTGACTTGACGGCACTTCACAACAATCACCACTCACGAAAAGGTGTGCAACTTCAGCCTTTCCATTTAAAGCTCAAAAGTTACATAGGTTTTCCTGGTCCACTTTTAATGTTACAAATCCCATATGGTTGTCAGGGGCAATTCAATCTTCAGTTGGCCATTTTGGAATCATACTCAATATTGTCAAATACTAAAATAAAGAGAATTATCTTTATCAGCAAACCAAACACATGAAGAAATGAAAGTCTTCTCCTTACATAAGACCATAGCAAGAGAAACCTTATGAGTCTCACACTGTGAGTCTCATTTTGCAAAATGAACTAATTAGATTAACACAAGAAAATACTGTTGGGGTGTCAAGAAATTTTCAGAAAAATCAACCTTTCTAAACAATTTAAAATGCATCCAAATTTCATGAAAATGAATTTAATTCCATTTCACAGAAGCTATTGAACTATACATAACAAAGTCTTTGTAATCAATCATTTGTAAACTACCTAAATCATTAAAATGGAAAGTAGTATCATCATATAAGGGAAATACAAAAATAACTTAAAATGGTTAATCCAGAAACAATGATTTCAGATGAAATGGAGAACAAATTAGAAAAGAATGACCACCAATCGGCAGAAAGGATCAGAACCAATTGTCCACCATATTGTCTGTAAGAAATTACAATCTTCTGCTTTCCCTCTTCAGAAAAGTACCAAATGGAAGGGCTTAGAGGCCCTCAAATGGATACCTAAAGGCAATTTTGATGGTTTAGCATAGAAATTACCCTAATGTGAGAACACAACATGGGAACTATTCAAGGTATGTCTTCCTATGCAAAACTTAGTTAATATATGTTTTAGCATTTTAAATGAGCATTTTGTAACTGAGACCAAATATCAATCATCTCTTGGGGTTTTCTACTATGTACTAACATCAGATCTACATAGGAACAAATATTATTCTTATTTTTCTCTTCAATATCAAATGTTCTGAAGCCTTTGTGTTTCTCTGGAAGGAGGCCAAGTTTCTGAAGGCACATTCCAGTATAAACATCGTCAATGGGGTAGAGATGGACCTGGTCAGTTATACCATACAGCCTCAGAGCCAGGTGGCCTGAGTAGAGGAACCCACCTCCCCCTGCATAAGGCGGGTAGACGCCAGAGTAAACAACTTCTGGGATGTAGTACTTCAGCTTCTTATCCCGATGAGGCCCAGCGTTGTGGATCACATCGCCTATAAACAAATCTTTGGCTTTGTTCTTGGATAAGCTATTCAAGTAATTCAGGATGTGATGGGTGTTCACGAAGACATCATCATCGCCCTTAAAAACAAACTCGGTGTTTGGGCAGGAAGTGCTCACCCACCTGAGGAACAGTACTTCTTTCAAAGACAGGTTGAAGAAAGTGTCCCTGTAGTTCCACATAAGAATGTCTTGGTGCCTCTCACTCTCAAATTTCAGCATATCTGACAGATCAGGATGGTTGTCCTCTGGGGGTGTCTGGCCCAGCAAGAAGACTCGCACTACTGTTTGATTCCCCACATTGGCTTCTCTGCCCCAAGATTCCCGAATGGCTTGTCTTCTAGCAAAATGTGGTGTGAGGGACTTAATCGCCAGCAATAAGAAGGGTTTCTTTGCACACTTGTCTGGTTGATCTATAAGCAGTGAATAATTTCGACATCTCAAATAGAGCAGAAAGTCTTTGAATCTGTCTGGCAAGTTGTTAAAACCTGTGACTACTGATGTGACACTCAGATCAGGTTCACAATAGTTCAGATGGCTTATATTGGAAAATCCAGACACTTCCCCTGTCTGGTTGGCCAACATGCTCAAAATGGGATTGTACCGCTTATTCAGCTTTTCTTGTTCTCGGTTCCAATATGCCGCAGGAGGACTGGATATCTTCCAGAACTTTTCTTTAGGTATTATTACTTGACCTTTTCCATTTTTCTCTTGGCTACTGCTTTTGGAGACTTCCACAATCAAATATATGAAGACGTTTACCATCATCAGGATACCCAACAACTTAATTCTTCGACGTCCAACACTCATTTCTCATATCTAAAATAAAAGAAGAGAGCATTACATTAACTGTAGGTTATTCATTTGAACTTGAATTTATTTCACTTACTTCTATGACTTTATTCTCCCCTGAAATTGTGGTTTAGAGGCAGATTCTGACAAGTTCAATCATAGCACACTACCCCTGTCACTTTGTGACCACGGGGACAAGCTGTATGAACCTGTGCCTCAGAGTCTCCACCTTAAAATGGGAATAAGAACCCACTTTATAGGATGGCTGTGAGGACTGTCTGATGTTGTATGTAAAATAGTGCTGGGTAACTATTTGTTATTTTAAACATTCCGAAGACAGATGTTCTGAATAGCCTCAGAGTTGTACCCTTCCTACTTTTAAGGGCATATATAAACAAATGCTTTGCTGCTAAGTCTGTGGTTAATAATAATATATATTTTATAGCATATTAACATACTCATAGGTATGTTAGGAAGCCAATACCTGGGGTTCCATGTATTTCACTTTGATTGACTATTTTATTCTACTATATTGTTTAACAAACATAGACCCTAATCCTAAATTAGAGCCCTGGTGTGGCACTGTAGGCTAATGCACTGGACTGTAAAGCTGGTTTGAACTGCAAGGTTGGTAGTTCAAGCTCACCAGCGACTCCTTGAAAATCCTACGTGATGGGTTGGAACCCACTCCACGGCACTTAACAACAAACCTAAATTGGAGTTCTGGTGCGGCACTACAGGATGAGCACTGGAAAGTAAGTGGGTTTTAAACCCAAGGTTAATGGCTGAAACTCACCAGCCATTCCTTGGAAACCCTATCAAGGGGTCTGCATGAGACTGAACAGACTTGATAGTACTTAATAACAACAACAAATCCTAAATTATTTCACAACCCAGCATTTTCACAAGGCACTGCCCAGGCTTGGGGTTTCAGGAAGCAAAGGAAGCGCTAATCACACTGCTAAACAAAAGGATACAATGAAAGAGACACAGAGTAGCTTTTTCTACAATGACCCCAAACTGAGAACAACCAATTATCAATAGGAGTATGGATTAAAAATGGAATACACCTCTTGACAGTAAGAAAAAAAAGTACCAGCAAAAAGTTTCATGGAAGTGAAAGTCACATTTTCTTAATAGGTACAGAACACGTGATTGCATTTATATGAAGTTTGCTAGAATCACAACACTCATTAAGGCCACAGAACTTGGAGTGTGTGTATATAAGGGGTGGGGAGTTTGACTTAAGAGGGACAGGTGAAACTTCCTTGGGTAAAGACGTGCATTACATGTTGACTTCATGGATTTGATTCTCTGACTTTGCAGGTAACAGTCCAGTGCTTATCCTACAGCACCACATAGCAAAAAGAAAATGATAAAGAAATGCAAATGACGCGTTAAGTGAGAAAGTCAAGATTAAGAATAGATGTCAGATTGTAACAGAAGAAAAAGAGTTTCATGAAATGGTTTGCTTTGGAGTAATCTCAGGGTTCTAAAAGTATTACAGTACACAAGAACCAACCATTTACACTAACTTGCCATTAAAGGACAATCCAAACAAATGAAGTCAATGCAATAAGACCTATGAAGATTTTTCTTATGAGGTTCATTCTGCTGCTGTAAATTGATCCTTACAGAAGAATCCCACCATGTTACGTCTCAGGCACTGTTGCATTATATCACAGTGAGTCTGGAAGGTAAGCACTGTGACTTTTGGTCCCATTCTAAACCCAAGGTAAAGAGATTTAAAGAAGTTAAGAACTCTGTTTGAAGGCCAGAGCTAGAATTCCAAAGCTACCATGTTAAATGGGGGCCCACTCTTTGCTGATCTCTAAAATAAAGTTTTACTTTATTAAATGTGACCATTTAATCAACAGTAGCGTTTAATTTTTAAGTAAAAGAGGTGTTAGGAGTTCAGTATGTTCTAACAAACAGACCAGACCCAATACACAAGAATTTCTGGGAGGTTTTCACAATTTGGGCAGCCCATATTAGATGTATAGTAAAATCTGCCTGGTGGATCATACTCTACTTTCTTATATTTGTTGTTGTGCCCTGTACTTTGTACAACAGAACTAAATTGCTGTCGGTCCTGAGCCACCCCCATGGGTGGTTGTGGATAGGCCCTTGTGATCCAGAGGGCTTTCATTGACTGATATTCAGAATTAAATCATCAGGCTTTTCTTTCTAGTTCTTCCTCATCTGGAAGCTCTTCTAAAAATTTTCAGCATCGCTGTGGGTTAATGCGCTGGGCCACAAAGCTGGTTTGAACAGCAAGGTTGGCGGTTCAAGCTCACCAGTCACTCCTTGGAAACCCCATACAGGATTGCTATGGATTCAATGGCACTTAACAACAACATGCACACCTCAACTAACAAGACAGGTGGCGGCTGCACGTGATGTAGACTGGTTGGGCATCAATGGGAATCAAACTCCAGTCCCTGGCATGGAAAGTGGGAATGAATGCTGCCATGGAACCACCAATTGTTGCTGTTGTTGTTAACTGCCTTCAAGTCAGTTCCAACTCATAGCAACCCTGTATATATAGGGTTTCCAAGAAGTGGATGGTGAGTTTGAACTGCCTACCTTGTGGTTGGCAATACAGCGCCACACCAGAGATCACCATTGTTTCACATTAAATGTCTGTACCTACCATTGTTGAAAGGAGCTCTGGTACCGTAGTGGTTACGAATTGGGTTGTGAACCGCTAGGTCAGCAGTTTGAAACTACCAGCTGCTCTGCGGGAGAAAGATGAGGCTTTCTGCTCCTGTAAAGATTTACAGCCTTAGAAACCCTGTACAGGGTCGCTATGAGTCGGAACAGACTCCACGGCACATAACCATCACCATCACCACCACCATTGTTGAAGAGTTTCAACTATAGTCAAAGAAGTAAAAGGCTTAATTAAAAACAAAACCAGCTCCATCCCACACCCTCACTCCACAAAAGCTTTTTGCATGTCTAGAGACTAACATGACAGATGAGAAGTTCCACTGTGCTCTCTTGGCTGACCCAAAGCAAGCAGTTCTCCCATTTCCCCACTTGCACCCAAGAATCTCACCAATGAATTACTAAGAAAGAAGAGTCTTCTTAAACTACCTTCTAAATCAAGTAGTAAAAACCACAAGATGTTTCTTATTTCCTAATTATAGCTTTAAAGGGCACCAAATCATACCCAAGTTGAAACGTTCACATTCTCCTCCAGTCAGCTTCTTGCCCAGAAGCCTTTGAGCAGATCTTAGGAGCACACAGGAGGTCTGGGCCCAATACATCTTTGCCAACCTTCCTTCTAGGCTCAAGTTTTAAAGTCATCTACTCAGCTTTGCTGTGGGCCTAATTTACAAGAGCAAAGGAGTTTAAACAGACAGAATGCTTATTTGAATGGGCATCTGATGCAATGAAAGCACTAATTATCTTTTTAGAAAAATAAATCAGACACATATAAGCATTTGGCACGGGGAGAGGTTAGCCTTCAGATTTGAGACAAAACATTTTTTTCAAAATAACACAGTTCCCTTTAAATCGGGGCAACTCTCTTAAAGCAGCACTTGACCCAGTACTGCGGATCTCAGGCCTTCCTAGTGAGTGAGCCAAAAGCAATGGTGAGATGGAAGAAGGGCAAGAAGGGGAATTTACAAGGATGAATGGTAGGAAGGGCTGTAAGCTGCAGAAAATAATTTGGAAGAGTTACTCAGGAAAAATGAAAACCAAAAACTGCACAAACTATAAACAGCTAACTATTTGGCAGAGATTTTCAACCCAGAAAAGAGTTTAGAAACCAACAGCCTATTTTTGAAATGTCTTAAGTAAAAGAAGATAGCTTTAGGACCAAAAAAGGAAGGCACACAGTACTTTAGATAACAGGAAGTGAGCTTCTGGAGCTAATTCTCCCAGGAAATGATACCGGGTGATTCTATGTAAAAGCAACTCCAGATAACACATCCAGGTTATCTGGAATCCAGCCTTATCTGGTTGATGCTTTCACATCAAAGAAATCGCCAACCTTTCCTTTTGGAATCTTTCTTTAATGAATACATTAGACTTGCTGACCAAGATTCCCAAACCTACCACTAATTCAAGGATTTTATAACCTGTACCAAGATCCAGCCAGAAGACTATCTGCTCACCCTCCCTTGGTCCAGAAAAGGCCAGTAGCTCTCTAAGAAACACCAACCTTACCCAGGCCTTGTTCAAGGTTTCAGTCTGCAAAGCATTTCATGTCTATTTCTTACTAGCACCCCCCTAAAGGAAGCTGAAGGGATAACACTTTACCAGCAAGAAAAGAAAGCTCAGAGATTCAAGTGACAAGGCTGAGATAAATCAGAATTTTTGGCTCCCAATCCAGGGCTCTTTGATCTCCTCTTTTTTCCTACAAGGCACAGCCACATTCTCAGAACCTGGTCCAGATAAACAGTGACATCTCAACTGCTAGCTCAAGACTGAAAAGGTGCAAGGGGTCGACATACATTTGATCTCTATCTAGAGTCTCAAACAAAAAGGAAATAGAAGTGGCCTAGAAGCTCCCATCCCCCTTTGGAGAATGAGCTAGTCTTTTCTTGTGTAAGACTCCAAAGTACAACCACATAGCATAAGGCATAGTATAAGGGAACTCTTGCCATTACTTGCTAAAAACTCATGCTTTCAAACTAACCAGAGGAGGAAGAGTGAGGGAACTAAAAAACATGATTATACATTCCATCAAGTTTAAGTGTCATCCTTCACTTAGGACCTGATATGACACAGTCCCTTGCATGAGAATCCTGCTTTTGGCACAGTTACAACAAACCAAAGTTCATGGAAAGTAGGATACAGCAATGACTCCCATAAAAAATATCTGTGGGAAAAGACTCTCAGAATTATCGGACTAAAATTTCCCACTGAAAATATATAAATGATTCCGTGTCCTTTTTTGAGCAGGAAGTTGTACTGCTTAAAAAGAATATGAGGGAAAAAACTTAGCTCAAAGCTAAGGAAGATGTTATAAAATCCTCACTGTGAGACAGAATTTTTATTGTGTG